CCTGGTGGCACAAGGGGTTAAGACGCAACCTATGAAGCTATCCACAGCCACTGCAGCATGAGTTCAATCCCTGGCCAACCAGGGAGCTACCCACATGGCACAGCAGACCTCTCCTGTCTCTCCCACTGCTCCCCTCAGCAGTGTATTTCAGTCAATCTGCCTGTTCTGTTCCTCACTCTTTCTCTGGTGAATCCTCTCAAGCCCCATACCTCTGGCTGGTACCCCAGTTCTTGTATGCATAAATAAATAAATCTTAAAAAAAAAAGGTACAAAGTATTAAGCCAGATTCTCCTAGAACAAACCTAATTCTTGAGAGTTAAGAACTTTTGAAAATTAAAAAGTTAAGCTTTTGAATTCTGGAACTATGAGAAGTGCTCCCATTTTTTTCCTGGAAGTGGAGGGTAGTGTATTCTCCTTTTGAAACTTCATGATGGGGAGAAAGTTGCTAATGGTATGATACAGCAAAGGTTATATCATCATCAAGTCAGTTACTGATCACTTGATAAACTTGACCCCTGGTGGATGAATCCTCTCTGTGAAATGAGATGCTCTAATGCCTCAATTATATATAGGGTTTGAAGCATTTCTGTCAACTGTATTTCAGCCTTTGAGTAGTGTCTGGGCAAATTCTCAGAAAGGTGCTGCCAGCTTTATGTTGCTCTGGTGCCCTGTTGGAAAGCCTCCTGAAGGAAGAACCCAAACGAGAGCATCACTCTGCAATTACAACTTACTTTAAAGTAAGTTGCAAATGCGTCAATGTCAAAAAATATAGCTTGGGGGATAGTGGTATAAGTCCTGGTCTCACTCCGAAGGCCTAAGAACAGGGAGCACCAATGTCTGACAGCAGAAGTTGGGTGTCCCACCTCAAGTATCGAGCAAATTTGCCTTCCTCTGCCTCTTTATTCTATTCAGGTTCTCAACAGATTGGATCATGCCCACCTGCATCTGTGAGGACAACATTCTTCCTCAGTCTACTAATTCAAATGCAAATCTCTTCTGGAAACATCTTCATAGACACTTCCAGAAATAATATTTACCAGCTATATGGCATCCCTTAGCCCAGTCCAAAATTAATATAAAGTTAACCATCACATCTAGTCAATACTGACATTGTCTTTGTTTCTTAATTTCTCCTGCTCTTTTTACACAAGAAGGGAAGAATTGTCATGCCTATTGTGACAATAACCTCATTGACTTTTGAGTCATCAGGAATCAGAATTGACTCTGTCCTTTGGGGTGATGGGCAATGGAATAACAGAGATAAACACTCCATTTTGTTTTATTTGTTATAAGTAACTCAGTTTTATACTAACACTGGCTATCACAGAGGTCTCTAGAACAGTGAGATGGAAAGTTACAAGTGGCATCAACTTATAATTTTGCCACTGAATATGAAGACTTAAAAAGTCCCTTTAATCTATGATCTAAGGAAGGTTTCTAAAATGACATTTTTGATAATTATTCTGATATTTTTCCTGGGAGATTACTATGAGTGATTAGGTATTTAACATTGATTTTTGAGAGTAATTTCTTAGAACTGGCTAGGCCAACTCTGACACAGACATGTTGTGGAATACTATTCCAGAAAAAAAAAAAGGAAAAAGCTGTTATTGATACAGCAATGTAACATGAATTATAAAAACAATATGCTGAATGAAAGAAATTTTACACAAAGCATTATACTTTGTGATTGTTTTTATATAGACTGAGAACAAGCAAAATTAATGTATGATAAAAAAATAATCACAAAAGTGTTTTCCTTAAGTTGGGGGAAGGCTGGAGAGAGACTGGGAAGTATAGGGAACCTCTGGGAGCTGGTAACATTCTGTATCTCGATAGAGATTGGGTAACAAAGGTGTATGCATGTCTCAAAATCCATAGGATGCATTTGTAGCTTTATTGTATATAAATTGTACCCCCCAAAATGTAAACAAAATAATGACATTCATGATGAAATATTTAGGGGTGAAGTATACTAGGACCTGCAATTTACTTAGAATTGCAGTAATCACAACAAAAATGAACTGATGGATAAATACACAACAAGGAAAATATAGTAATTGTAGCATTCAGGTGGTTTTTCAAGTGCTCATTTTCCAGGTCTTTCAAGATTTTGGTAAATTTGAAAATTTTAGTAAAACACTAAAGATACAGTTTTAGAAGAATCTATTTACATAAAAAAACATGGAGGGAACCCTGGGTAGTGTTTTTAATGATGCAATATTGTTTAAAGTACTGAATATTCTTAAAGAAATTGTTACTTGTAAAAGTTAAATGAGAATTTATTACATTGCCTTTTGCAAAATGCTATTTTTAAGAGACATATAGTTGTAAACACGTAAGGGTTTCTGAATTTGTAGCATGTCACGTGGAATGTTATGAAATTAAATTTGTAATTAAAAACTAGTGTTCTGGTTTTGACTACACAGCACTTTAGTTTTAATTTTTTTCTCTTGTTAATCCCCATCAACTCTCTTTTAGAAATGATAGGTTCTGAAATGCAAAGAGGGATAATAAGCAGACGATAAAATTCAGGGAAGAGTATTGCTGGTGGGAGTGCAAGTATGCTGGTGGGAGTGCAAACTGGTCCAACCACTATGGAGAGCTGTGTGGAGATTTCTTGACCTACTAAAGATAGAGCTTCCATATGATCCAGCAATTCCACTCCTAGGTATTTACCCAAATGACACAGAAACATTAATTCCAAAGGGCACCTGCACCCCTATGTTTATAGCAGTACTATTTACAATAGCTAAGCTACGGAAACAACCCAAATGCCCAAAAATAGATGACTGGATCAAGAAGATGTGGTACATATACACAATGGAATGTTACTCAGCAGTCAAAAAAGATAAACACATGCAGTTTGCAGCAACATGGATGGAGCTAGAAGGGATCATGCTCAGCAAAATAAGTCAGAAAGAAAAAGAAAAATACTGGATGGTCTCCCTCATAGCAGGAATTTAGAAAACCTAAATAAGGGACCAGGAAAAAGACTAATTAATACAAAGTAAAAATCAAAATCAACAAGCAACTATAAACCAGAGACACACTGTAGGGTTGGGGGTGGGGGGACAGGTAGGGAGAGGAAGGGATAGGGTACTAGGGTCAAAATAAGGGGGGTGCAATTGTATAGGAAATATAACCAAATGAAAATGTATACATTGTGCAAAAATGAAAAATGATGTAAGAATTATATAAAATAAAATATTAAAAAAATTCAGGGAAGAGTAAAGTATATTTTAATGATGTAAATTAACTCATAAGAAATAACATTAAAAATCTTGACTTTATGTACTCCCCTCTGGCTCTGGTGAATTCTCTCACTCTCCCACGCTTCTGACTTTACCCAGTGCTTGTATAAATAAATAAATAAATAAATCTTTAAAAAAAAACCTTGACTTTGTGGTAAAATAATATCATAGCACTGACTTTTCATACCCTAAGAATTACTGGATTTTAGGAAGACTAGAGTATAATTCAGAATGACCATGACCGATAAGGACATTGTGCTTTTTTCAAATGCACAAAGTCCAGCAGGAACATGCATACAAGTTCACTGTTCAGGACCAAAACCAAGGAAAAATGTGGAATGAGGAAGGAACCAGGCATGAATCTATGATTTCACATGCAGTGTGTTCACGGAATATTCACTGTCCCTTGTGTAATGATTGTGTCAACCTTGAGATATATTTATACACACACACACACATCTATAATACATTTATATTATACAAGTATATATATTTAAATATGTTTAAGTAATTGAAGAAATGAGTAAATGTTCAAAGAGGAGCAAGATAACTAAAATAATGAAAAACTGGACCTGTGAGGAAAATCTGAGGGAAGAAAAAAATTCTCAGAATACTTAAAGGCCGAGAAGATTCAGGATTTGCTTGCTTTCCATTTTGAATTACATGAAGTGCTTTATGAGGAGTTTCTATGAAAAACTAACAAGGAAAATTGATTTAAGCCATACTTCACTGTGTAAATGGAAGTAGCTCTTGACTTCAAAGTTGATTAAACTCTGGAGTAATTACCAAAAAACATGATGGAATCCACATACTGGGAAATTATATAAAATATAAATTCTGGTGGTTCTATGTTCATCTGCCAGAGGTTGAGGGCAAATTCAGATGATTTCTGGAAAAACCTTCCTGAGTCTGCAGTCTAATAATGTTTCACTCCACAGTAAGATTTTGATGTACAGCTTGGAACTACATTATGTATTTCAGGGCTTTCTATAAGAAATGACATCTTTAAATATGCTTTACTTAAAAATTCACTAATATACAGTGAACTACTATGCTTAGCAATACTGTACTGTAGTCTTGAAATCTGCTGAGATTTTAAATGTTCTTATCACAGAAAAAAGAAAAGAACAAAAACTAACTGTGTAAATGGATATATTAACTAGTGTGATTCTGATGATTATTTCACAATGTTTATACATCTCAAGTTATAGACCTTAGATATAAACAATTTTAAGCAGTTTTTATTTGTGAATTATACCTCAGTAAAACTTGACAAAGTCACTATATTGAATTATTCCCCTTTTCATTAGGTTTGTTTCATAACAGATAATTACATATTGCTTTGATGACCTTGTAACACACTGCTTAATTTAGTTTCTTACTTTATTTTTATTATAAAATAGAATGCATTCTGTCATTTTTCTCTTATTTCATAACATAATTAAAAGGGAGTTTTTATAGTTAAATATAATATTATTATATTAATCAGTGCTTCCTATTGGTTAAAGGGTCCCTACTTGAGAATAAGTATGTCTAATAGCCTTTGCTTCTTATCCTGCAAGTACCCTATTTCACCATCCAAGTCCAGTTAGAAAGAACTGAGACAAAAATGTTGTCTCTGTGAATGATTTGTCTTCTCTCTGAGAGTCAATATGGCAAAATCCCTTTTGCAAATTTTCCATTGTAGTCTCCCTTTTTGATTTCTTAATCTTATTCCTTGACTCATTTGATTTTTATTCTTTGCAGAACAAAACTTGCTTCCTGTTGTGATGCTGTCCAAAACTTCGTTGTTTCTCAAAATAACACTCCAGTTGGGACTAACATCAGTTATGAGGTGGAAAGCAAATACGAGATTTTAATTAGACAGAACATTTTTAATATGTTTCCAGTGGTGAGTAAAGATTTGCTGTGGTTTATTTGGGTGAGCATTCCAGGGAATTTATTCACTCACTTTAAGTTATAGTAATGGAGGAGTTAATTAAAACACCATACTTATACTCTGATATGTTGTATAAAATATGTATAGCAGTCCATTTTTAAAAGGTATTTCTGGATGCAGGGTGGCTCTGTAAGGAATGGCATTTATCCCTTAAATGATAAGCTCTCCTAGTCCTTGAGTCTTCATGACTCATCTTGAAGGAGATGAGGTACTTAGGCTCTCTGCATAGTAATTACTGGCACTTGGGAGATGTCCATTTTTCACCTGGAATAAGATTCTTCCAGTTGTCAGGCTGGTTGACTAAATCAATTTCTTTACAAAGAACTTAAGGTATATGTGGGGGGAAGTAAATATGTGAGAATTTGTGGTCAATAAACACCTCTGTAAGACATGGATTTTTGTCTTATGTGTTCAGAGCTACTAGAACATTCCCTAGTGCACTCATTACATATTTGCTAAATAAACTAATGGGTAATGATATGGTATCTTTATAAGAAGAAACTCATTCCTTTATATAAATCCAAACTGGGAGGGAGAAATTTTGTCATGAAGAACATTCCATTGCTTATAAATATACACTTTCAGGCATATTTTAAGGAATTGGTTAAAAGCCATCAGGCCAAGTCAGTATTGTCAAAACTAGGATTATTTTATAAATGCTGTGGGGTATTTGATACTTACAATTAATTCCCTTTTGTTAGAACTTTGCTTTCTTTCAAATAATTTGTCATGTATGTTTTCCCATTTTTCTTAATATTATAATTCAATGGAGAATAATTTTTTGAGAACAAATAAGAAATAAACAGAATTTTTTTTTAAAGATTTATTTATTTATTTATTTATTTATTTATTTATTTATTTATTTATATAAGCACTGGGTACAGTCAGAAGTGCGGGAGGGTGAGAAAATTCACCAGAGCCAGAGCGGGGAGCAGAGCAGGCAGAAGGACCAAAGCACACTGCTGAGGGGAGCAGCGGGTGGCAGGAGAGGTCTATGGGCCATGTGGGTGGGACCCTCCTCCGGTGGCCAGGGAGCAGCAGGGGATCGAACCTGCACTGCAGAGGCTGCGGGCAGCTTCGCAACCCAGCGCTCAACCGCTGCACCACCAGGGAGGCCCATAAACAGAAAATTATAGAGAAAAATGAAACTTTTCTGGAAGGATAGGAGGACAAAAAATAACAAACAGCATTCTAAAAATGCCCTCATGTTGCATTGAAATGACCAAAAGTTGAAAATTTAATAATAGCTAAAGAATATTTATGTTCCCTATCAGGGAAGGTCTTGAAAAGTTCCACAAAGAGCCACCTATTCAGCAATTTTTGCTAGTGTTCCCTTGCTTTACACTGACCAGAACAAAGGAACAAGAGGTCCCTTACCTCTATTGGGCCCCCTGAAAAGAATATATTTACCTAGTTTTGTTAATTCTGTATGTGATTAACAGCATTCATTTTCCAAGTTTGTACTGAATTTTAAGGCTGGGGGGAGAAAATTCTGAATTCAATATAGAACAATTGCAACACTTCTCTATGTTGCTTCAGCATTTGCTCTCAATGGACATGACTTCCAGCGAAAGAGCCTCTTCCTACCCAGCTTCCCACACACACCCTGCCCTGCTCTGTCTCACTCTGCCCTGCTCTGCTGCATTCGGGTCCCCAGGACTCGGCCATAAGGCAGAATGCAATAAATGCATTTGGATAATGTGAATGCTTTTTCCTTCAAAAACTTTCTAAGTTGCTTGAAAAAAAAAATGACAAAGTTGGCTTTCAACCAGACTGAGAAATGAGCAGGCAGTTGAGTGGCACAAATTTGCATTTTCTTAGCAGGTTTATTTTAGGTAACACTGAAGTTTGTAATTTATTGAAACTCTTACTGCATATGAGATCCCAAGCATATGGATGTTTTCCCCCAGATGACCAAGAAACCAGAGAAAAACATTCATTATTTTGAGTGTTTAATTGGAGATAGGTTTCCCTCAGTAATCTTTTCCATTGTATGATAAATCACATATTTGCATTCTGCCCTATCTATAAAATTCAGGATTTATTGTGGTACTGTGAGTAAGCACTGTCTGAAGACATCTTGAGCTAGAAGTTCAGTGAGTTACGATAACCTGAGATATCTGAAAACCACCCATTTGAAAGCCAAACAACATGCTAAGCATCGCAGATATAAAAAGAAATAAGACTCGTACTGAAGTTAACATTTTATCCACTAAGCGAGAGGAGTGGTATCACGTGTAGGTTAAGGGCATGGGCTCTGGAGCATACTGCCTGCGTTTGAAGACAGATTTGCCCCTTCCTTGCCACTCCTTAATCTCCTGCCTCCATTTCCCCATCTGTGAAATGCTCCTGTGGTGGTTGTATGAATTACATGTGTTGATAAGGTGTGCACTGTGAACAGTAGCTCATGTATAACAAGCACTATATGATTTTTAACTTTTAGAGTCAAACCTAGACATGCTGAAACAGGTTTTTGTGGGTTTTTTGCTAGTTTGGTATCTTCTAGATGCAGCATTGGGAACACAGTGTTTGAGGGGTCTGTTGAATTGCCCAGAACTACCTTAAACCTGGGGTGTTTCCAGTGATGCTAGTAAACTGACTTTTGTCGGTAGGATGCCCTGATCTGTAGCATGTGCCAATTTTAAGGGTGTAAATATTCCTACTGTGGCCAATTTTAATTTATCAAAGGTTTCACAACCAGATATCAAATTCTGGAATAATTACTTGTTGGCTCCCACAAGTAGGTAGAAGTGGGCTCCAGCACAGTGCTGGGGCTCATGTAGGGTGGGCCGTTGGGTCAGCAAGCTCTTATAGAAAAGTCACTGCATGCATTGCCTGGTGCTAGGTCTGCAAACGATGAGAGGGATTTAAAGTGGTCCACACACTCTGTGCCCTCGAGAATGTACACTTAAATTCCAGAGACAAAAGAGGTAAGTCGGCATCTCATCACTGTGAAGTCTGAGCTGGCATCTTAGCTGCCAATCAAGGTCACACCTTTACTTCACAGAACGTTACCAACAAAGAAAAGGTATTGAACTGAAAAGTTATGTTTCAGACTAAGAAGGATTGGAAGAAACCTTCTGGGGAAAGTAAGTTGGGTTCTTGGAGGAAATAAAAAGGACTCATTCTTGGAAATTAGTTTGAAATAGGTCAGCACAGAGCTGGAAGACCTCCCTGAAGCACCCTTGTGGGTCATTTGTGAGGGTGGAAGGCATATATCTCACACCACCCCTGAACCTGGAGGTCTAAGTTTCACTAAATTAACTATTCATTTTATTTCCAAGATAGATAACAATGTTCCTTTCTAATGCTTTATTTTCTCTTTTTTTGCTGAAAACATTCTGCTTGTTGGAAAGGTCCAAAGTAGAATTTTGCCATTCTCTTTTTATCTACTTCATTATGTGACATAAATACATTATATTACCTGTTATATACAAACATATATTTGTTTTATTATATTAAACTGCATATGATAGGCTGCCTATTTCTCTCAAGAGAAATGAAACTTAGGTTTTTAGGACTTTTTATTATAGTCATAAGTTGATCAGCAATGCTATAGTGTTTCTACTTCTGCTACTTCTACTTTCCTTAGGGTGTATAAAAATTAAGCTACATGAATTAAACTGGTGGTGGTGGTGGTGGTTTTTTAAAACTAAATACTTTCTGTGGTGCTTTTCTACTTTCTCCTGATAGTCCCAGCCATTTATGGAGTACCCTTACAATCAGTGTGCAGTGGTTGGAAATGGAGGGATCCTGAATAAGTCTCTCTGTGGAGCTGAAATAGATAAATCCGACTTCGTTTTTAGGTAAGAGCTGTCAAGCTGGTTTCTTTGTAACCAAAGATCAGTTGGATATTGTAAAGGCATAGTGTTAAGAAAATTCATGTAAATTTCAACTTTTGAGCCAGGTGCTTAAATCTACAAATTATCTTGAAAGAGTTTTCTTAAGTATTGAATGAATCACGAGCTCTAAAGAACGCTGATGCCTGAAGGATCAAAATGTGCTGTGGTCACTTGTCAGAAACTGTGGGTGAAATCATGGTGGAAGAGAGTCTGTGCCGCAGGACTGTCAGAGCATATTCATGTTAGCATCGCTCCCTGGAAAGCATTTTAGGGGTCATTTCCCGGGTTTCCTCCTACTCGCTTTAATAGCGCATTTCAAAAAAGTTTCATTCTCAGGTACTTAGGAAAACGCTGGCCTAGGCATTATACAGCCACGCAGCATCATTATTTATTGAGTTTTTTGGCTTGAAATTAAAACTTTCCTTCTGCAGTTTCTACATTCTGTTTTTTAAATGCTTATATCTCAATACCAGCAAGCTTGCAAAAATAGAAACAAAAGTGGTTTCTGTGTGTGCCAATACTAAGTCAAGCTGTAGAACAGCTCTACGTTCAGAATATGATAGAAAGGTGATTCATCCCTGTGAGGATGGATTTCCATTGAAATGCACCTTTTATAAAAAAGTAACTAGAAATCTGTTTCTTCTTATTTTAGGAGCACTGATTTCATACATCAGAGGACCTCCTGTGATCCTTATTGATTTAATGTTGTTGCTCTTTTAAGCAATGAAAAGGAAATACAGTTTTGAATCAGTAGCTCTCCCTCATTTTAAAATTCTCATTTTAAAATTTTCTGTTGAAGGTAATGACAGAACAACAGACCTGACAGTCCCACAATTATTGGATGTGTTCCTTATAATTCATGTTAAAATAGCCAATACCTGAATGATTTAGTCATTTTGTTAAGGTATTTGGTATGAAAAAAGCCATAATAATGGTAAATAATTCTTGTACTTGTTATTAATAGACTTAAAATTCCAAACAATATCTGTGGTATTATACTGAAGCATCCATTTTCCTTTGTAGCAAATATAGGAAATAGAACTTTAGTTTTTAAAATTAAAAAACCATTCTCAACAGCTACGTAATTTATAATTCTAAAATAAATGCATGTATTTCTAGATTCTGCATTTGCAGATGCCAGGTATTTTCCTGAACATAGAGATCCCTTTGAAGTTAAGTTTCCCAACTGAAAGGCTAGAAATGATTAGCATCATTAAAATTTATTCAATTATTAAGCCTGTACTTATTTTGACTGTACATGTTCATAATTTATAAGCAAAGGGAAAATTTATTGCTTCTCCTCATTTCAAAATGTTGAGAGGTTTCAGTTAAGAGGATAAGGAACAAAAACTGTCAATGAGTAACTGTACTACACTGTTGTAGATATCACAACACTCAGTATTTCCTGTAGGAGTTGTCCATACCTTTAATTGGACTATGGGTGCCTTGGTGATGGGTATGGTTTGGTAACATACATCTGAAGAGGTGTGATCCTACACCTCTGCATCATATACAATGTTGTAAGCCAATGATATTTCAATAAATAAAAGAGAGAGAGCAAGAGAGAGAGAGAGAGAGAAATAATATGGGGGATGGTCTAGAATACAAATTTGTTACAGGAAGCCAATTAAATAAATACAGGATTACTATTTATTTTTTCCCAAGTGCCATTATTTATTTAGTAATTCTATGATGTATATATATATATTTTTGTGTGTGGGACCCTCGCTGGTGGTTGGGGATCGAACTGGCGCTGCAGAGGCCTCGGGCAGCCTCACAATCCAGCGCTCAACCGCTGCGCCACGAGGGGAGGCCCTGATGTATATTTTTTATGAGAAACGTACAAGTTTCATTCCTTATATTTCATAGAGCATGGAATCCAATGCTTCAATCTTATTTGCATACTGCAGAACACATCAACTTTAGGACTTCTTAAGAAGTACCCAGAGATGCTCCTTTTCTATGTATGGCTTTAAAGGAATGGCCTTCTTGAAATTCTGTAAATGACCCTTAAGGAGACATAACCAACTTTCTCTTTTTTTGAAACAGAAATATAATTACTCAATACAATTCTGAATTTGTCTTCCAACTTAAAAAACAAATTAATACTCAAAAGGCGATGAGAATATCAACATGAAAACAGCATTATAATAACATTAAGCTTTTATTTATTAGCAGCATAGTTGATGGGAAAGCTATCCATATGGGAATCAGGAGATTTTGAGTTTTTTATATAATCTTTGCTTCTGGTAGAGTGCATAATCTCAGTCACAGTGCCCATTTTTTTAAATCTGTAAACTGTTGATTGTTGGGAATACAATCAATACAAACAATGACAACTTTAATAAAAGATTATAAATTCTTCTAAGGCTAGGCAAAGTGTAATTGTTATTTCCAACTTTGTTGCTTATAAAATCTTACTATCAAGACCATTTATTAAATTTGTATACTTTTACAATGCTGAAATGGCAACTAAGAGTTCAGTACTTACTAAATAGTTTTAAATGGAAATCAAATGGATTTTGAGAGACTCTAAGAGATCGCTTTCAAAGAACAGTATCTGGCATTTTTTTCAGTGTAAAGATAATGGTGATAAATGTGTGCTTAAGTGAACACACTATTTTTACTATTTTGAAAATAATTTCCCTTCCAAATTTCAGGTGTAACCTCCCTCCAGTAACAGGAAATATTAGTAAAGACGTTGGCAGTAAAACCAATCTTGTAACTATAAATCCCAGTATCATAAAGCTAAAGTAAGTACCTACATATTTCCTAATACTTAAGAATATTTTCCTCCATTGCTTAACATGTTTCTTAATCTGAGCATTAATCTTGTTGCTGAGACTGACTTGCAATATAACTGACTTGGGGAAATATATATGAAAACACTTGTATTTTTTGACATTCTGTCAAATTTGTTGTTCATAAGAAATATGGTCAGTTATAAGCTGAATGTTTCTAATCAAATAAGAGCTTATTTATCTCTTCATCATTTTAACAATAGTGAAGTTACTTTTTCAATTTTATTTTAGAATTTTAGCATTATTCTTTTTTCTTGGTAGTACTTTTTCAATGAGACAATATTTAGAAACTTCAGAGAGTAAGCCTTAGGAGAACCTGGCAAAATTAATTTTTCATTTTGGATAATTTATTATTAAAAAAATAATCCCCATGTTTTTTTTTACTGCAACATAACTACTAAAATAATGTTGCTTGATAAATAAAAGTTCCATGCATAGTTTTACACCATTTTTCATGAAATATGGCTAATAATTACTATTAGTATAACATGCCCCCAAATAGTTCTAGCATATCTTGAAAGAATATAAAATATTATGCTTGTCTCCCAAGAGCTCATTTTCTAAACATACATAAATTGTACATATAAGTATATTTACTAATCTATTGTTTGAATCAAACATATAGATCTATTGCAACATGTGAAGAAAATTTAAAATACATTTGTATCTGTGTGTATATATAGAGATGATATCATAGGTTTTATACGGAAACCTTTATTTCATAATAACATGTAAAAAAGGTGCACAAATGAGATTATAAAGGTTCAGCTATATGATTTTTTTAATGTGTAAATATTTGAAGAGTGTGCTATATTTGAGATAGCATTTTATCATTATACATTTGGAAGGTGTTTCAGCATCAAAAAAACAATCTCAGAAAAAAAAATGACTGAGTTGGAAAATAAAATAATGCAAGTGCTGTGCATATCTAGTCAGGGTATCACCTGGTGAGAAAATAGAAATAAAGCCTGATATACCAAGAAAGAGAGATGAATATGGAGGGCTTAGCTCTTGATATTGAGGGCTTAGCTCTTGATATTTAACAGTTGCTTACTTGTAGTGTTTTCCTCAAATCAATCATTTCTCTTATATACAGCAATACAAATGGTTCAGTTTTAATGTCAGTTGTTAATTCAAACTCATGTTACCAAAACTACTACTTTGACTATTATTGATGTCATTATCATAATCTTTTAAAAATTTGGCAGATATGGAAACTTAAAGGAAAAGAGAACAATATTCCTGAAGGATATTGCAAACTACGGAGATGCATACCTTCTTCTGCCAGCATTTTCCTTTAGAGCCAACACCATTGCCTCTTTTAGAGTGTATGAAACATTGAAAGTGTTTCAAGCAAGACCAAGAGTCATATTTTTCCATCCCAAGTACCTGAAAAATCTTGCCCTTTTCTGGAGAACTAAAGGTGTGACAGAATATCGCCTGTCATCTGGCTTGATGATCACAAGTGTGGCAGTTGAACTGTGTGAGAATGTGAAGCTGTATGGATTCTGGCCCTTCTCAAAAACTGTAGAAGATACACCTGTCAGCCATCATTACTATGACAACAATTTACCTAAACGTGGTTTCCATGAGATGCCCAAAGAATATAGCCAAATTCTCCAACTTCACCTCAAAGGAATACTCAAATTACAATTTAGCAAATGTGAAACAGCCTAAGCAAAATATCTTAAAATGGGAAAAATTTTAATACAATATAGTGGGTAACTAACAGTGTTTCCAAATGTGAAGAAAGATCATATTAAGATATAGTAGGAAAGGCCCCAACACTTGGTTTGATCAAACTTCCCAATTAGTTCACTCATTCAATTGTTCTGATATAGCATCTTATCATTATACATTTGGAAGATATTTCAGCATCAAAAAGAAAGATACTATGATATTTAGCTCGTATTTGTAAAATGTGATAATCTATGAAAACATTTGTTGAAGTATTTGGTGTGAAGTAGGGACTGGATGAGTATTTCCTTGTTGATATTTGTGACAGCTGTTTCCACCCTCACGAACTATGATTAAAGTCATGCTATCTTAGAGATCTTTTCTGGAGAAATCAGCCCAATTGCTGATTGGCCCTTCTCAAAAACGGTAGAGATACACATTGGGGTTCTTTCTCTGACAGTCTTCTGTATTATCAATAATATCTTTCACATCTTTCTTCCTATCTTAAAGAATGCATGTAACAAAAAGGATGTACTGAAACAAGAATCCCTTGGTTATTCAGAAATGAAATCCTTCACTTCATGTAGTAATATGTCTACTTCTGATTATGTTCATTTATATTATTAGCTGCTATGACATTTTGGTTAGATTTAGACCAATTCTTTTCCCATTTTATTTAATTCAAAATGATTCTTTAGAATTTATATTAACTTCCTATCTCATTCATAAGCCTCTCCCACTGAAAGGATCTACATCAAGGATCTACTTTATTATATACTTTAATATATATATTAAAGCTTGTTTATGCCAAACTCTGTGGAAGGAATGGAAAGATGACTAGGAATTAGATGTGTGTATCACCAACTATGATGTAGTTCATAAATGCTATTGCAATAGTTTTTAATGTAAGTACTGTGAGGAACAAAAGCAGGAAAAATTAAATTTATTTTGGTGGAATCTATTTCAGAGAACAAATGAATCCTGAATTAAACCTAGAAAATAAATAAGATTTTACCAAATGATAAAAGTTCAGGTAGTGGAAATATGAAAAAGGAGAAAGTTATTCTTTTGATTTTGATTCTTCACAATGAGGATATTTGATGATAAATCATAGACTTTGTCCCAAGAACTGCCACATCCCATGTCATATGGTAAGGTGTAGTATGTAGGGGTGGTGACTTGGGCCCACATCTATGAAATGGAAATAATCTGATCTGATTGATTTCATAGTAAAGCTATTAAAGATTAAAGCACAAAAAAACTTAATCCTCATAAGGAAAGATATATGTTTACATGAGAAATAAGACTAATAATTTAAACATCAATATAAAGTAAAGCATTAGATATTAAATATTAGCATTTCCACACATCTCCCCTTACATTTTGATCGTACCTGTTAATAGAGGTCATCTATGCATCTACTGCATAAGTAATTTGACTTAAATAAATAATTATGTGTATATCTTACTGCTTATCTTTATACCATCACATAAAGAGCTGAAATAGAAGTGGAGCATGCTGAATTAATTACAAATTAAATTTTAATTATCATTATTTAATTATTATTTTATGAACATTATATTAAATGTTCATTTGTAAGAATACTTTGCTATAAATTGCTTATTTTTTAAAAAGTACATCTTAAATTTGATGGTAGTTGATATTTGTGATGTTATTCTTCATTCACATTTTCATTTATTCTTTTATAGCAAATGAAACCAGTAACTCCATAAACTGAATAAATGTTCATATATAAATATGTTCCAGGAAGAACGTGCCCTTAGTTACATAAAGTCTACATTTATCTTTCTTTTTATGATGTTGAAAAGATGGCTATTTTCTACTACATTTGATGGATTTAATTTTTTTAAAAAATCTATTACCAGTATTGGTAATGTATCAATCATGTTACTACTGATGGGTTATTTAAAATAGATCATAACACTCTTGTATTTTATATTTAGTAAAATGTTTTTCACAAAGCATTCTCTGGAAAGAAGAAACTTTTCAATGATATTGGAAATATATGATTGATTTAATCAAAGTAGCACAAATTGAAATAAATCATTAAAAATGCAATATGGAGACTTTATAAGTTATTTTAATAAAAAACTACATATGATTTGACATTTAGAGTTTACCTAAGTTTTTCCCACATACCTTCCTATCTTAATTTAGAAAATATCCTCTAAAATCTCAAGACATAATCTTTAATGTCATTTATGGAGATCTCAGAAATATTCAAAATGGTACATAAGCAAGAAGCATCAGCCTAATGGTACCCAGTGAAAGTTCAGTAGAAAAATATTTTTAAGTTGTGGAGAAAATTGTAGAAATTTCCACATGAACATAACAGTTTACTTCTTTTTTTTTTTTGAGATTACTTCTTATTTAAAGTTTGTGTTGCAATTCTAAAAGCATGTTGAAATTTTATAACAGTTGGACAGGCACATTAATCTGAAGTCTTTACCAAAAAGAATATGTGTACTCATTCTATCTCTTTCCCTGTAGTTGTTGTATTTTCACAACTTGAATTTTTCTGCCATTATTGGCAATTATTCTACAATCTTACTGCAAGAAAGTAAAGGGGGTTGGAGGCATGTGTCTCATTCACAGTATAACATTTCCTCCCTGCCAGTGGATGACTTTCCACAGCATGTACTGTTGTGGTGTGCCAATAGTGTTCTTTTGTTCCTAAACAAAAAAAAAAAAAAAAGAGAGAGAGAGAACTTTCTAAAATAGAACATGAATTTTGATAATATGACACTTCAGCTATGTGAATTTTAAATCAAACATCACAGTTCTTTTTGTTCTATAGTGGTGAATTACTATAAGTTTTTCTCCATGATAAAACAAAAATAAAAACTATGAGCTTCATCTTGTAGGTTTGTAGATTAACCAAAACCAAGTTTGACTGTGACGTTTTCCAGGAATCTCTGCATTCAAGGAGCTTAAATGTTGTTAGATGGATTGGATGTGGTCTGCTCTTAAACAAATATGTCCATGGGCATTAACATGGAAAATCTGAGCATTGGTACTAGACAGTGCTAACACTTCAGTGAAGACTCCAGCTCCTAATTCCACGCAATCAGTTTCTAAGAGAAATACCAGCTTGCTTTTTTCTATTTTCTACCTGTTGTTTTAGCATCACTGAACAATGTAACCAAATAACAATATCCTGAAATAACTTCCATCCAAATCCAAGGGTAAAGCATAAATATTCCTTTAGGCATATGGTCCATTGAATGGTGGCTGGAAAGGACTCACTGAACAATGGCATAGAGTTAAGTTTTTTACAGTACAATAATCCTTGAAGTCTTTGGTGTTTTTTTTTTTTTTCCCTCCTAACAAAAAACAAAGACAAATAGATTATGACTCTTATGAAAGAAGATTTTCTTCTGCATGCAAATTGCAACCCATTCAATATGTAGGCTCTCAGCCAGGTAATCAGCCAAGGACTTTTTTTTTTAGGACTTTCTATGTATAGAATACTGAATTAAGCCATAAATCAGAGCTGTTTGGGGCTAGCTTTTTCCTTGCTTATAAAAAATTTACCAGTTAAATACTTTGTCACGTCAAGAACCCTAAGGTGTTCCATGAATTTGAGGAAGTGTTAGGAAAATTGGAAATTTTATGGATAGCACATCTTTTCACATCCCAAATAGCTACTGCAGAAGTATAGTTATGATACAATGTATAGTATAATTATGACATTCAAAATATTTTATTTTGTTACATAATAGGGCACAAAAACCCACTGTTATGCTACTAAGCATTGAAAAAAATGTAGAAATTCAAATGAAATATCTGGAACACTTGGCCTAATAAGACTATTTTCTCTTGATCCAAAAAAAAATCAGTTTAGAGCTGCTGGGTGATTTAAGAATTCCTATTTGCCTTTGGCTTCAGGAGGCTGATTCCACAATGAGTAGTTATCATTATGCTTCTGAAGATGGATGGGAAGAAATATTTCTCTTGCTGGTTTTATCTTATCTCAGTCATCATTTTTCTTTTTATTATTATTATTATTCTTTTTATCAAAAACTACAAGTGATATTTGATAAAGATGTAGCACTTATATATAATGGAGAAAAGACATACTCTTTAGCAATTGTTGTTGGAACACTGGCTTATTATATGGAACATAACAAATGCCTACAGTGCATAGTTCAAAAAGTCACACTCCGTATAGAATGAAGATGGATTGAAGGTTAAACTGTAAAACAAATAGAACAAAATGTAGGTGAGGGACTGTACTTTATATAATTTTTAAAGTTAACGTTTAAGAAATGATGACTATGGCCCTATTACAATGAAGAATTTCTAGTCAATGAATATTAGGTTCAACAAAGTTAATAGACTGGTGACAGACTGGAGTAATTTTTAGCAATGGGTAAAATTAATGATTGTATAAAACATTCTTAGGAACTATAAATCAACAAATAAAAGACTAGAAATGCAATATTAAAAAAGAGCCACAGGTAAAAATGTTATGTACAAAGGGAGAAGCTGAGTAGCTGGTAAGAATAGGAAGTGATGTTTCAACTTATTAGTGTCTGAGAATGAAAATGAAAATTAATATTATGACTATTATATTGGGAAAAATTAGTAGGATCATTCATTCCAAATGCTGGTGGAAGTATAAACCAATTCAACCATTTTGGAAAGCAGTCTCTTAGTAGTGAGTTAGTAAAAGCAATTATTTATCTATCCTGTGGTCTAGCACTTCTGCCTTTTGGATATATGTTCACAGAATTTTTTGTGTAAGTTCACAAGGAGATGCATACTCAGATGTTTACTTCATTACTATTCATGGTAACAGAAGCTATAGGGATGTCCCCTCTTGTCTTTCAGATAGGCAATTTGTGTTTTTTCTCTCTTTCCTGGTCTGTCTGGCTAGAGATCTATTAATTTTATTGATCATCTAAAAGAATCAGCTTTTAGATCTCTAACTTCTGCTCTCATTTTTAGTATTTTCTTTCTTCTTCCATTGAATTTCATTTACTTCTGCTTGTATAATTGCTTAAGGTAATTGAATTGATACCTCTTTTTTTTTAAATTATAACTTCTTTGATTTTTTTTAAAGATTTATTTTTGTATAAAGAAGGGGTACAGGCCAGAGGCACAGGAGGGTGAGAGGATTCACCAGAGACAGAGCAGGGAGCAGAACAGGCAGAGGGACTGAAGACACTGCTGAGGGTAGCTTTGGGTGAGGCAGGAGAGGGCTGCTTCAACATGTGGGAATCTTCCTGGCTGGTGGGGTATCGAACCCTCATTGCAGAGGCTGCGGACAGCTTCACAGTGCGACGCTCAACTTGCTGCGACACCGGGGAGGCCCTGACACCTCATTTTGCTTTGAACATAAGAATTTAGTGCTATCGATTTCCCTTTAAATTTTAACTACTTCTGGGTGAAAGAACTTTTTTTTAAAGATTTATTTATTTATTTATACAAGAATCAGGGTACAGGGCAGATGCGTGGGAGGGTGAGTGGATTCACCAGAGACAGAGTGGGAAGCAGAACAGGCAAACTGATGAAATACACTGCTGAGGGGAGCAGCGGGCGAGACAGGAAAGGTCTGCTGCACCATGTGGGACCCTCACCAACCTGCCGGGAATGAACCCGTGCTGCAGAGGCTGCAGACAGCTTTAAAGCCCAGCGCTCAACCTCTTGTGCCACCAGGGGTGGCCCTGAAAGAACTTTTAAGTAAACACCTTATTACTTCCTCAAAAAATAAAAAACAAAATGTTTAGCAGCTTTTCACAATTTTGATGTGTCCTGTTTTCATTATCATTCAGTTTAAAATATGTTCTGTCTTTTGATGACATCTTTGAACCATGTGTTATTTAGAAAGTGTTTAACTTCCAAATATTTCTGGATTATTTCAGATATGTTGCTATAGATCATTTTAAATTAATTTCAGTGTAGTCAGTGGCATGCTTTGTATGATTTGAATTCATTTAAATTTATTCAGATTTTATTTCTCTGGCCAGAATATGGTCTTTCTTGGTAAATATTTTATGTGCACTTGAAAAGAATGTGTATTCTAAAATTGGTGGAGAGTTCTACTAATGTCAGTTAGATCAGAATGGTTGATATTGTCATTCAAGCCATCTATATCTTTCCTGATTTTTTGTGTGCTTAGTTATTGAGAGAAAAGTATTAAAACTATAACTGTGGATTGCTGGAAATAGATTCTTGGATTTCCCTTTGCCCATCTATGATAATCAGAAGTAAGTGGGGTCCCCTGGGAATAATTTTATTAAAAGTTTACTATACATATAACACCTATACAAGAACTTGGCATACATTATATTTTCTTATTTAAACCAAATCTATGAGCTAGATTTTATTCCCGTTTTATACATGACAAAACTCAGACTAAGAAACCTTCCAAGGTTTGCAAATCTCCAAGCAAAATTTCAAATTCAGGTTGTATGTCTGAAACCTATGTGTTTAATAATATTTCATCCTGTCTAGTTTTATTGTAGATGTTGTTTTGTTTGGAAACATTCTAAAACTT